GAGGAGAAGGAGAAGCAGCCAGAGAGGCTGGCAGGACAAGGGAGACTGTCACAGGACGGGTGGCCATTTTGTTAACTCCCAGCCTGCCTCTGGGAGCTGCCGGGCCCTCCACACCCTCCCCTGCCTTGCCCTGGAGGAGGAGTTAGGGGGTACCTTTCTAGAAGGTGGGCAGAGATCCCTTCTCTGTGCCTTCCATGACCATTCAGAGACTGACAGGCCTCCTGCAGCAATGTTGCCTGGTCCCAGGGCTGGACTTAAATCCAACGAACATATAACTTGATAGGCAGGGCCAGGCCTCGGAGGCAGACAGGGGGACATACAGAGACCAGGTCCACGTGATCTGATGCCCCAGGAGTTTCAACATGCAAGGAAGGAGGCAGAAATTTCAGATTGTCATTAAAGCTCCTTTTCCCCTTCATCTCTCCAAGAAACGGAGCAGCCTACCCCTAACTCTTTAGCTCTGAACAGGCCCCTCCCTGCTCATCCAAGTTCATTAAACCTGGGTACCCTCTGATGGCAAGGGGCTGACTTCCTCAGAGAATACCCTCACTTGCCACTCAACCTGCACCAGCCCATTCTACAGATGAGTGGGACAGAAGTGAAGACTGAGTCTCTCGACTTTCTGGCCAGAGGCCTAAACCCAAGGCCTGTCCCTTGTTCTGGGTGAAGTTGCCCTACTTGGTGTCTAACTCAGGGGCAAAACCCACCAAGGTTTTTGTCCTGATTGGCCCAAGAGCTTTGGAAGAGTCTGTCTCACACTGGAGCCCACCATGGCCTATTTGTCTCTAAGTGTGGACATATAAGTGAGGTCTGCCTATGAGGACCTTCCACCCTCCAGCATCCCCCCAAAGGCAGGCAGTCCTGACTATCTTTAGGGGGGAGGGAGGTGGGAGGAGCCTAAAGAGGCATGGCAGCTGGGCTACAGTTTTTCTCTGGGAGGTTGGACAAAATCCTCCACTAGGCTGGATTCTGTTTCCTCAGCATCCTTATCACTGATGTCATCGTTGTTGTCTGCAAACAAGGGGCTGAGCCTGGCACTGTGACAGCTCCTATCCTGTTCTCTGAGGACTCTTGAGCAGCCCTTGTTGAATTCCACTGACCGCCCAGAGAAGGCCTCAGATTTCACCAGAGCACAGAGGTCGATCTCCAAAAGACCAGATGGGGCTCCTTGGAAACTAACATAATTTTTAAAAAATATATTTATTTATTTACTTGAAAGTCAGGCTGCAGAGAGAGAGGGAGTGACAGAGAGAAAGACAGAGACAGAGAGATCTTCCATCCACTTCCATCTATTTATCTGAATAGCAGGGTGACAGAGGGAGAAAGAGAGGGAGAGGGAACTCTTTCATTCACTGGTTCATTCCCCAAATGGTTGCAATGGCCAGGGCAGAGCCAGGCTGTAGCCAGGAACCGGGAGCTTCATCCTGGTCTCCCACTTGAGTGGCAGGGGCCCAAGCACTGGGGCCACTGTCTGCTGCCTAATGGCTTAACCCGCTGCACCATAATGCCTGCCTCACTTAACCTCCATTCTTGATTTCTATAATCAGCTAGAGCTTACCTCTCTGCCCTAAACCCATGCTATTTTCAAATCTGATCCTTTTCTACAGTCAGATCAGGCTGCTGCTGCCCCACCTCTAAGTGCACATCCTGTCCCTGGTCCCTGTCCCCTTGCCCAGGCCATCACACTCCCCTTTCCTCTCTACACCCAGGTGCTGTCCAACCTACAAAGGCCAGCTCAAAGCCTACCTTTCTACTTCTGGATGAAATCAGCCTCTTATATCTACACCCCCTGCTCTTGCTGTATGTTGTGAATGTATGCATTTGTATTCATCAAAGTCTCCTGAGTGGCATCACAAACTGTTGAGGTTGTGTCTTATATTTCTCTTATTCCCGTCATACATATCTAGGTTAGTGCTTTGCCATGGATATAATCAAAAGTGTCATTTGTGTAGCATGGAAGGAAACCATTGCTGGAAAATATTATGTCAGATCAATGCTGGATCAGTGCAGTTGAGAGCGTGCCTATTTAGTTATTCATTGCCAAAGGCATGCCAACTCTCTATTTTTCAATGTGTCCCTAAATTGAGATATTTTGACTGATCTCTGGATTATTTCATTTGCTTCCTGTACTAATATTTAGTCAATGTGGGAGAGAGAGTACAGCAGAGTAGAGAAGACATAGAAGTCAGATAAGCTTGGATTCGTACAATAGGTCTCCCTCTTCCTCACTGTGTGACTGTGTATGGCTTTCCTACTTCTGCAAAATGGGTACAATCATACCCAGCCCACAGGGTGTTTCATAGGATCTTATGGTATTACAACTCACATGTGATGTGCTTAGCAGGTAGTAAAGGGCTGAGCTGAGACATAGATGAAGTCTTTGATAAATGGTGACTGATGTCATGAATGATAACGATAGTAATGCTAGTTGTTTTGATCTCATTTAGCTAAAGCCTACTCACCCTTCAAGATTCAGTTTTCTCTCAAGGTCATTATCCCCACACAGGGTTAGTCATTGCTCCTTTCTGCTCCCCTAATAATTGGAACAGTATCTCTAAGATAAGTCCAAAGGTCTTAGCCGTGAACTCCAGGTTGCCTCACTCGATTTAGTGCTATCTGTTCCTCTGTGTGTCCTTCCCATTAAACTCTGAGCTGCCAGAGAGCAAGGATTTCTCATTCTTCACTTTGTGCGTCCAGCTCTGGCCTTGCGCTAGGCTCAGTGTGTGCTTATTAAAGGAAGAGCAAGAATGTCAAGCAGGTGGTATGGGAAGATGTGACCGGGCACGAGTGCTCTATCTGAAGAAACAGGCTTGAGTTGGGAGTCTGTTATAGAAAGCAAACATCCCTCTTAACTCAGCGAAGTCCCGCCCACAGCTTTGAAGAAGTCCCTGAACTTGCTCAGTGGGATTTTCTTTCTTGGGGAAACATTCAGCCCCATCAGAAGACTTGACATTGAAAATCCCTAAAAATCCTTGCCTGCTTCTACCCTAAGCTCAGCCCAGACTCCTTCTTCTACTCCTCTCCTCTCACTTCTTTCTCCACTGGCCAGAGTCTCCCAGCTCTGAGTTCCTACTCCCTTCCTGATGTGGCCACTGGGTTCTGAGGATGCCTTCCCAGCACCAGAAGCTCTCTCCAGAAGCAGGCAAAGGTAAGTGCACCTGGATAGACTCTAACCAGTCTTTGAGTGTCGCTCCCCGTCTTCGTGGAGGAATGACACAGGACCCTGCGCTGTTCTTTCATCTGCTCGGCCCTCCCCGGGTTTGCTGCTGGTTCTTCCCGGGTTGGCTACTGTCCCTTCCACCTCCGTGGAAGGGCGGTTCCCCCTGCCACATTCCCCACTTCCGCGGGGGAGCGGCACACCGCTGGCCGGCTCTCTCGGGGGCTGCACAGGTGTTCCCCTTAGATGTTCCTGGTGCATGCCGTCTCTCTCCTCCTTTATAGTCCTCCTCCGCCAATCCCAACTCGGCTGCCCACACGCCGAGTACGCTGCTCTCCTCCAATCAGGAGCAGGATCAGCTCCTGGAGGTCAGCACTCAAGTTGGCAAGAGGCAGCTGCGTAGAAGCTGTTTTCTCCTCTCCCAGCGCCATATTGTGGGAGAGCAGATGCATAGAATAAGTCTTAATTCCAGTAACTCAGTCCAGTCCGGGTTGCTCCCCACATTTGAGCTACCCTCTTCTCCTCCCATCTCCACTGCTATACCTTAGCTCGGCAGGAGCCTCCAAGTCGTCTCACTGTGGTCCACTCCATCTTATGTAAGTCTGCCACAAGGATCACTCCATTAGCTTAGAGCAGCCTGTGCACAGTTCTATTAGCACTTGTCCCACCAAACTGGGATTGTCTGTGATCAGTCTGTCTACCCACTAGATGATAAAACCGTAAATGGAATCTCAAGCCAACGTATCTCCCCAGAGCCCAATATGTACCTTGTACATAGTAGGTATTCAATAAGTATTTGTTGGATGGAGGAGTAAATAAAAGTGTGTGTGTGTGTGTGTGTGTGGTGTATACAGAATGTGTTACATACCCTACGCTTGTCTCCTTTACAAAGAACTATATTATCCCATTTGCTATTTAATCCTTACAACAACACTATAAAGTAGGTATTATTAGTCCCATTTAAAAACAGGGGAAACTGAAGTTAGAAAAGTTAAGTGATTTGCTTAAAATTACAAAGCTAGTTATGGGGTAAAGTGAAAGAGCCAGGCCCAGGGTTTTACTGTGGCCTCCTTGGCACCTGCCCACCTGCTCACCCAGGCAGGGAAAAGATGTCAAGAGGCTGCGCTGCTTCTGTTCTGCCTCGCTGGGGAAATAAACAAGAAGAATTCTTCTCATCATTTGGTGAGTCGGTGACATTTCGTTTGACAAAGAATCTAGGAAAAGCCTCTCCTGGGACTAGTTTTGGGACCAGGCTCTGATAATATTGCTTTATTGAAAATGGATGCTAGGAACTGAGCTCCGGATGGCCTTTTACATGGAGTAATTTATGCAGGAAATGAGAAAATTTTTTTTAAAGAAACACACATTGATCTACACGCAGTCACAAAGGCAGCAGTGACAACACACACACATGAACAAATAATCCCAGAAGCAGACACACAAAGGCACGGATTCTGGTTCATGGCTTGGTCGCAGTCAGGCCCATGTATAGTCAGAAGCTAAGAGATTCCAAGTCAGATGGATGCAGCGCCCTGAGGACACACTCACTTGCAAAACAGTCCAGTGGCTCTGATGTCCCCTCCATGCCTTCCAGGGGAAATTGCAATTTTCCCCACACATGTAAATCTCCATCATTAAGGAACGCAAGGGAAGCATGACATTGAAGAAATTAATCTCTTGGTGCCTCCCTGCCCTTTGCAGGGCCCTGCTCTCTCCATGATGATCACACTTCACGTGACGGTGCCAGCCTGGTGACCTGCTGCCCAAGCCTCCTGGTCAAGGAGGATTTATGCCTGTGCAGAGGCCCCAGTCACAACCTGCTCCTGGAAGGAAGGTTTGTAAAACTCAGCCGGATGCCTCTAGGAAATGCATCTCAGGCATTGACAGGATGGAAAGGGTTTTATTTACAGGCCTCCCTCCCTGGCTGTTTCTGAAGAGTTGCGATTCACAGGGAAGTCGAGGCAGGAGTCCCCTTCCAGCCAGGAGTACGGGAGAGGTTCCAAAGTAGAGCCCAGAGTCCCTGTTTCTACGGAGTCAGCACCTGAGAAACTAACAGAAGCTGAAACTACACTGGGAGCCATGACACCTGGCTTCTGTCCACAGCCTTCCTGGGCTAGCACGGCCCTGCCCTGGGCCTCAGTTTCTCCATCCATGAGAAGGGGATGCCTTGCTGTGCCTGACCCAGCGTTAACAAGACGTCATACCCCTCTGTATCAGCCAGATGATTCATATACCCAGAAGCTTTTTTTCTCTTTTAATCAGATTTCCTGAATGTAGGGACCAGGCATTGGTTTTTTGTTTGTTTGCTTAATCTTTATTTGTTTTTATTCTTCATCTATTTGAAAGCAGAATGACACAGAGATGTCTTCTATGACATTGATGATGATTCATTCCCCAAATGGCCCCCAAAAACAGTACTGGCCAAGGCTGAAGCCAGGACCTAGAACTCCATTGTGGATGGCAGGGACCCAAGCACTTAAGCCATCAACTGCTGCAGCCCCAGGAGGCAACAGCAGGAAGTTGGATTGGAAGCGGAGGAACTGGGACTTGAACTGGCACTGGGATAAGGATGTCCCAAGCAGCAGCCTAACTTGCTACACCACAATGTCCGCCCCTTTGTTAACTTTTTATTTAAGCTCCATAATAACTTCATGAGGTTGGTAGTTCTATCAATATGACCATTTTACAGACAGAATAACCAGAACTAAGAGTCACATGTCTGGATTAAGTTACATAGAATTCACACCTTCCCCTGGACATCATTCCCTATTGAAACCAAAACCAAACCAAACCAAAACAACCACCTCCCCCCCCACCAAAAAAAAAAAAAAACAACAACCAACAACAACAAAAACACAGAACAACAAACTACAACATACTTTGAAAACCTTGAGGTTTGTTCTGAAAAATGATTTTTCCTATTGCCAAGGTCAACTTGTTAAATAACGACTGTTATTTCAAAGCTTCTGCTGGCTATTTGCTTGGTTTAGGATGGAGGCCCAGGGCAGGTGGTTCTCTGCTCCCCACCCCCTCTTCGTTCTCTTTAACTCTCTTGTGGCTCTTTTTTATTTTTGACAGGCAGAGTGGACAGTGAAAGAGAAAGACAGGGAGAAAGGTCTTCCTTTACCGTTGGTTCACCCTCCAATGGCCGCAGTAGCCAGCGTGCTGCAGCCGGTGCACCGCGCTGATCCAAAGCCAGGAGCCAGGTGCTTCTCCTGGTCTCCCATGGGGTGCAGGGCCCAAGCACTTGGGCCATCCTCCACTGCACTCCTGGGCCACAGCAGAGAGCTGGCCTGGAAGGGGGGCAACTGGGACAGAATCCGGCGCCCCAACTGGGACTAGAACCAGGTGTGCTGGCGCCACAAGGCGGAGGATTAGCCTATTGAGCCGTGGCGCCGGCCTCTTGTGGCTCTTAAAAGAGACGCCTAGTCTGGGAGGGAAGAGATAAAAGGGAATCAAATGGTTATTCACTCATTCAACAAATGTTTATTGAGTGCCTGTTATGTGCCAGGAGCTGTTCACAATTGTGAACAAGAGATGAAGATCTGAGTTGATAGATTAAGGGTGGAGACTTGATCCAATTATGGTACCTGGAGGTGAGGCCTTAGGGAAATGACTGGATTCGGTTAGGTTGCTAAGGTGGAGCCCATGATGGAATCATGATGGCCATAGCAAGACAGACACAAGGACATGGAGGAAGAGTGTGCTCCCTGGCTCTGATCCCTGGCTCACCATATGATCCCTCCTTTGTGTGTGTTTTGTCATCAGATACCAGACTAATCGGGCCACTCCATGTGGGACTGTGAACCCCAAAACTATAAGATTAAATAGACCTTCTTCTTTCCTAGATATTTTAGCTTTAGTAAGGAAGAGCCGATTCATACAAGGACCTTGAGGGAAGACATGACCAAGACAGCCTAAACACCTTTCTCTTCAAATCTTGGGGTGCTGGACTTTCTGCAGTGTGGGAGGAATCTCGTGTTCATCTATTGGGGTATTCAGTGAGAAGGTGTCCTGTGCATTCCCAAGGGTTTGGGGGACATGGAGGGGACAGCAGATGGCCAACAGCTCCCTCTTCTGTGGCAATGAGTGTGGATCAGAGTCTATGGGGAGTTCTGAGGTAGAAGCCATCGAGAAGCCCTTGGGCTCCTCTGGGTGGGAAGTGGGAGGGGGTCATTAATTGCCTAAGGGCAGCACCTCATCACTGTGTCTACCCAAGAGGGTGAGGCCCCTAAGCACCCTCAGAATGACAAAGAGAGAATGTTGGGAAGGGCAGATTGAACAAAAGGGAACATTCTGGAAGGGCAGGTACTGCACTCCCATAGGCCTACAGGAGCAGGTCCAGTCCTGTTTCCTTCTCATTGCTCCCTGCTTTTCTCTGGTACCCTCTAGACCCCAACAACAAACCCGAGGATCTCAGGTGACTCATTTCTATCCTCAAAATATGTCTTTGGTGCAGGTATTCATGACATGATTCCCATCTTACGTTCCAGACTTGTCTCCTATGCTTCTCCTTCAAGTACCCTCACTCTGCGTGGCTGGCAAATATATTGCCGTGGTCTGAACCTCTCCCTGACATTGACATTGAGACCTCACCCCCACTGTGGTGGTCCTAGGAGGTGAGACCCTTGGAGAATGTGGGTCGTGCCCTCACAAAAGGGGCTGGAGGGAGCTCCGGGTCCACCCACCACGCAGACACCACAAGAGTCCTACAAGGAGGCACCATCTATGAGGACTGGGTCCACACCAGACACGGAATCTGCCGGCACCTTGCTCTTGGGCTTGCCCACCTCCAGAACTATGAGAGCTACAAATCCTGTTGTTCATAAAGGACCCAGGCTAAGGTGTTTTGCCATAGCAGCCTACGCCCCGGGTCAAATCCTGAGGCTGTTTTTGTAAATAAAATTTTACTGGAACACATCCATATTCCTTTGTTGATGTTGAAGAGGCCACTGCTCACCACACTGGCTGTACTGGGTAGTGGCAACACCACACCTGAAACACATACTGTCAGAGCCACTACAGGAAAGGTTTGCTGACTCCTAGTGGAGGCAGCGGCTAAGCTAAACCCATCCTCTCCTATGAGGCCCCAGGACTTTGCTTGGTCCTCTTTCCACGCTGCAACAGCTGAAATACAGCTCATTCCTCAACGACTCAGCTCCAGTGTTACTTACTCTGCAATGCCTCCTTAGAGCTGTGGCACAGTGTTAGGGTGGCCCCAGCATTGATCTTCCAAACTGGAATAATCTTGAGAGTAAAAGAGGGCACAATTGCAGCAGCTACAGGTTTCAGCTGAGACTGTCCCAGGAGAGACAAGGTAAGGCAAGGCAAGGCACATGGACGTCCCACCTTAGTGCCTATTTCCTTCTGCCTTCTATGGGTTAACGGTTCCCATCTCCAACTCCCCTCCAGGAGGCAGTGCACTTCAGGGCAAGGACAGTGTGGGGACTTTTTGACCTCTGGACTGTCCTTACACGCACAATATGATCAATTAATATTTGTTGAAATGCGAGAAGAAAGGGAGGGCTCTGGCCCTAAGCGAGACAAAGCAAGCAGAAGCAAGGAAGGGAAGAGGCGCCATTAGCTCAGATGGAGAGGAGGTGCCTGCAGCCAGCAGTTTGCACGCTTGAGTCTGTGCCTGCACACCCCACTAGACAGGCCATTATAGTGCCTGCTCCACCGGGGGTAATCCTGCCTTCCTGCTCCCCTGGCTCCCCTGCAGCCCACCTCCCAGCTGCCAATCCATTCTCTCAGCTGCTTTCTATTCTGATATCTAGTGTCACAAAGGCAGCGGCACATCTCTTGCTCTCCGGGTCCCATAGGCTGCACTTAGGATGGACACCGTGGCCGGGCCAGGCTGACTCTCTGCTGTTAGGAAAGGGGGGCTGCCAGCCCAAGGGTGGCCGTCTAGCTTTGTGAGTTCTTAGCTGAGGCTGAATACTGGGGACCAGAACTGAGATATGCATCTCCTTCATACAGCTCCAGCACATTCTATAGACTTCAGCGCACTAACGTGGGAGATAGGAAACAGCAAGGGACTAAGATGACCCATTTAACATTCTTGACACTCTCCATCTGTTCTCCACTAAACAGCCAGAGAGATCTTTTTGAAGTGCAAATCTCATTCTACTACAACGCCATACCTTCCTTGTTTCAAACAAATTACTGGTTCCTCTTGAGATCAGCACCAGAATCCTTATCAGCCCACAAGATCAGATGCAGCCCCCCCCCACACACACACACCTCCCCACCTCTCCAGCCTCCTTTAACTTGCCCTTTGCCCTCCATCCACCCAGGCTTTTGTTCCCTCAAACAGGGTTTCTCTCTACCACAGGGCCTTTGCACAAGCTATCTCATCTTCCTGGAGGATGATGCTCTTTCTTGTTGTTGTTCTACATCTGTGTATTTATTTAACCCTCACTGGATACCTACCATGAACCAGGAATCACGTATATGTATTTTTTTTTAATTCAAAGCTGTAAAATATGACCCAAGGGGAGAGGTTACCAAAAGTGGCAGGAAATCACCTTCGGTTGGTAAACGGCCTGCTTTGCTTTCTCTTCTTCGCTTGAGCCACTTCCTCTGGAAAGCTGCACTGACCTCTAGCCCGCTTGGCTGCTTGGGCACACCACATCTCTTAATTCCATTTGAGCACTCAATTAGGTTTGTAATTACACATTTGTTTGTGATTATTTGAGTAATGCCTGTTTTCTCTACTAGGCTGCAAACTCCATATGGGCAGGAACCCAGGCTCGTTTTGCTTCCTTGGGATCCCTGGCATCTGGTAGCATTCGACAGTGTCGGCGGAACAACCCTCTTCACCAACCGGAGTCAGGTGGGAAGGCGGGCTCTGACGTTTTCTCAGTGGGATAGAAGAAGGTGATTGGGAGTAAGGGCTAGGAATAAATCCCTCTTTCTTCTCACCCTCCACTCCCAGCTCTTTCTCCCTCTCCTCCTTCTTACAAAGCTGTTCTTAGGGACCAACTGCATAGAGTCACCACATAATGGGGTTTACGCAGACCCAGGCACTGCCTGTGGCTCACAGGTCAAGATAGGCTACAGGTGTGGATAGACCCATAGTAGTGGAAGGACAACCAATAAAGAGGGCAGAGTCCAGACCAGTCAATCATGAATGAGCAATGTGCAGCAGACTTCCCACACCACCTGAGGCTCATGAGAACCCACAGGAGCCTTCTCCACTCCTTAGGTCCTCCCTTCCTCATCTTCCTTCCCACCCTCCTTCCCTTCCATGGTTCGAATGTCTCCTCCAAAACTCAGGTTGAAATTTAATTTCCACTGTAATGGTATTAAGAGGCAGGACCGGGGTCGGGGCCGCGGCTCAATAGGCTGATCCTCCGTCTGCGGCGCTGGCACACCAGGTTCTAGGCCCGGTCAGGGCGCCGGATTCTGTCCCGGTTGCCCCTCTTCCAGGCCAGCTCTCTGCTGTGGTCTGGGAGTGCAGTGGAGGATGGCCCAAGTGCTTGGGCCCTGCACCCCATGGGAGACCAGGAGAAGCACCTGGCTCCTGGCTTCGGATCAGCGCAGTGCGCCATTGGAGGGTGAACCAACAGCAAAGGAAGACCTTTCTCTCTGTCTCTCTCTCTCTCACTGTCCACTCTGCCTGTCAAAAAAAAAAAAAAAAAAAAAAAAAAAGGCAGGACGGGGGGGCCGGCGCCATGGCTCACTTGGTTAATCCTCTGCCTGCGGTGCCGGCATCCCATATGGACGCCGGTTCTAGTCCTGGCTGCTCCTCTTCCAGTCCAGCTCTCTGCTGTGGCCCGAGAAGGCAGTGGACGATGGCCCAAGTCCTTGGGCCCCTGCACCCTTGTGGGAGACCAGGAGGAAGCACCTGGCTCCTGACTTCAGATCGGCGTAGCTGCAGCCGTAGTGGCCATCTGGGGGGTGAACCAATGGAAGGAAGACCTTTCTCTCTCTCTCTCTCTCTCTCTTACTGTCTAACTCTGTCAAAAAAAAAGAGGCAGGACCTTTAAAAGGTGGTGAGGACACAAAGACTCCATTCTCACAGCCGGATTTGTGCTGTTAACAGAGGAGTGGCTCTAGTTTCCTTCCTGATTTTTCTCTCTGGCTCTCACCTACCCATTCATCTTTTTTTTTTTTTTAATTAAATTATTTATTTATTTATTTATTTTAACAGGCAGAGTGGACAGAGAGAGAGAGACAGAGAGGAAGGTCTTCCTTTGCCGTTGGTTCGCCCTCCAATGGCTGCTGCAGCCGGTGCGCTGCGGCCGGCACACCGCGCTGATCCGAAGGCAGGAGCCAGGTGCTTCTCCTGGTCTCCCATGGGGTGCAGGGCCCAAGCACTTGGGCCATCTTCCACTGCACTCCCTGGCCACAGCAGAGAGCTGGCCTGGAAGAGGGGCAACCAGGACAGAATCCGGCGCCCCAACCGGGACTAGAACCCAGTGTGCCGGTGCCGCAAGGTGGAGGATTAGCCTAGTGAGCCGTGGCGCCGGCCCCCCATTCATCTTTACGTGATGCTTTGGTGCAGCAAGAAGATCCTTGCCAATGCGGCCCCTCTTCCCTGGACTCCTGAGCCTCCGGAACCGTGAACCACACAAGCTCCAGTTCCTTGTTAAATTACCCAGCGTGTGTTCTGTCTCAGCATAGAAGACAGACCAGGACCCTCCCTCTCCCCTCCCATCCTGCCTCCCTAACTACCTTTGCTTGCTGTTTAATACAAAAGTGTCCTTTCAGGGAGGGACTTGTTGCTCCAACTACAGTGCAGTTTCCTTGGGGGTAGGGACTGTGCCTTACAGGCCTTCGAATCCCCACAGCTCCTGCACTGGCTCAGGCACACAATGAATACGTATGGATTCCTGCTCTTCTGCAGAGGGTGTGCGATGGGAGGGTGCCTGCCTAGGGTGCAGGGCCAGAAAGCAGCTTTAAGCCCTGGAGGGAGAGGGGTGACAGCCTCAGGGAGGCCACAGGCGCACTGTGGTCCCAGGTGTTGGCAATGAGTCAGCCCTTGCACTAGACACTAAGGCAGCCTTCTACGCCCAGCCCACCACGGGACCCAGAAGCTGCCTGCTTCCTGGCTGGCTCATCAGAAGCACGGGGCAGATTGCCACGGCCTCCCAGGACTGGAGAGAGACACACCCACTGGTCCAGCACCACAGCCTGGCAGCTGCACCTTGGGGTGGGGTTGAGCAGAGGCCTCCTGCAGGCCTGGGCCAGGGAGAAAAACAAAACAGTTGTCCCCGTGTCGGCGCCAAGCCTTCTCCCTGTGAGGAGGCTGCTTCGCCCTGGGCCAATAAATAATAGAAAGTCCAAGTGGCCCAAGGTAGCCGCTCCGTGCTGCTGGGCCCAGGCAGGATGGCGGAGTGGCCCACCGGGTCAGGAGCACAGGGATTAATAACACATCAATTTTAATGCAGAGAGAGCTTTTTTTTCCTGCTTCACAAACAGCAAAGCGAATGTTTGAGCATCCCAGCAGGGGGTTAATGAGGACTCTGATTAGTTATTCGGATTTCTCCACACTGCCTCAATCCATCCTAGAGGGAGGAGAAGAGCAGGAGGTGGGAGAGGGAGGTGCAGAGAGGGGCTGGGAGGAGAGCAGCCTCTTGTCTCTGAGAAGGTTTCAGTACCCCTCCTCCCCCAGCCCACTTCTACACGCAGTGGTAGAAACAAGAGCTGGTAGGGACCTTGCGGGGGCCTACTCCAGAGAGGCGTGACTCTTGGGCCACACAGGGAGGCAGCGAGAGCCCCCTGGCCAGACTCACTACACCAAAACCAGAACTCTTCCCTAACCCACAGTGAATCCTTTCCCTTTCTCTTGGGGGGGCTGCTGACCAGTGTCCAGCAAGGGCTGTCCTTGAGGTGGGGACCAAGGGTCATCCTCACTGGAAAACCCTCTGTCTTCTGGCCCAGGGATGTTGTCTGGCTCAGGGCAGAGCAGGGCAAGGCCAGGGAAGCGAGGGAGAAGGTGAGGGCTTCTGTGATGGACCCTGAGCCGGGGAAGCTCCCAGGAGCATGACCCGAGCTGGGTGGGCATGGCTTCTTCCGTGCCCAATTGTGGCATCCAGCCCAGCTCCAGAGGAGCTGAAGCCCAAAGCCACCAGCTCCCTCTGGCCAGGCCTCCCAGCTACAGCCCTTCTCCCCTTCATGCTGACTCTAGGTCACGGGTGGATCCTGCTCACTGGGGCCCTGACATGCAAGGCGCAAGAGCGGGGCAGTCACGTGCAGAGACGCAGTGTGCTCCCAGGAAGAGAAACTGCCTGGCCATCTGGCCACGCGCTCTGAGCTGTCCCCGCCATGGGGACGCAGATGGACTTCTGAACCAGAGCCCCCTCCTCCGCCTACCCCAGGTCCCAGCCCATCTGCTGCCGCCCAGGACCCAAACTGGCCAGGGTGACATCACAAGTGAGTGACCATGCAGAGAGGGCTCCAAAATCATCTCACTGCTGAAGTCCTCGAGGTGCCTCTCTAGGGCGGTGTCTGGAGAGCTGCCTGTCGCATCTACCCTACATTCTCAAATTGCATGTTCAAGCCCCTTCCTCGACTGTCCCTGACACCAGCCTTCTCTTCACGTCTGAAGGGGCTCAAGACGATTCTTAAATGATGCTGGACAGTCCAGGTCTCAGATACTCTCATTCATTCAGAGTAATAATGGCCAATGTTTACTGAGGGTTTCCTGTGACCAGCCAGCGTGCCCAGTGCTTTCCACCCACTCCACCTGAGGTAGGAACTTGTACTTGCATGCACCTGCAGATCAGCCTTGCACTGTCTAGGGGGACTTCCAGTAGTGATGTATCTGCCCATGCCACAGACACCACGTGGCTACAGAGCACCTGATTGGTACCTGGTGTGACCCAGTAACTGAATTTTTTATTTTATTTTTATTTGAATAGACACACATGGCTAGTGTGTTAGCACAGATTCAGAGGGCTCAAGTGATACACTCAACACCACACAGTTCATAAAGGGCATGGTTGGCCTCTGGGGAGCATGCACTACCCCATGACGCTGTCCTGGGAGGCATTTGCATTAACAGCATAAGAAACCAAGATAAAGAGATGGGGAGTAACCAACAAATCTTTGGGGCATTCGAAGTTTCCATCCAGCACCTGGTCTGTGAGCAAGATAAAAACATATGGCAGGGGACAAAGAGGAGTAAGACCCAGGTTCTGCCCTCAAGGTGCTGCCAATCCAGTGGAAAAGAAAAATAAATTCTACTTGGCAGGAAACTACAGGTGCAAAACTGAATGAGGTAGGACATCACCAGGACATTCCACGGCGGCCTCCAAAAGTCAACCACGCCCAACTACGATCTCATAGTCTCCTGCTCACTCTTCCCCAGGTTTGTTTCTCCTACATTCCTTGTTTCACTCTCACTTCCTGGAACTCCTTTTCCTGCTTAATCTGCCTGGACTGGCATGCATCCCTAATAACTCAGCGCAGGTGAAGTGCCCCGGAAGCCTTGTCTGGACAGGCACTCAGTGACCCCTCCCTCTGTGCTCCCATCATCCTGTGCACACCTTGATTCTGTCACTCACTCGACTGATGTGTAACCACTGACATATGTGTCCCCATTGGAGGGTGTCCTGTGAGGTCAGAGTCGATGGATTTGCCTTCCTTGTGTCCAGAGTGCCTGCAGTGCCGGTGATAGGTGGTGGAGGTGGGCGTGTGCAGGTGCATCTGCCTTCATGGTTATCTGCAGAGCCAAACACCTCTGTCCTGCCATCTCCCACCACATTCGCACACGGCCTTTCTGCAGAGGAAGGCTTGTGGGAAAGGTGCCACAGAACAGCCCCCAGTCACCCCACAGCCTCTCCCCTGGGGCACGGCAGGGTGGCTACCCACAGAACCTGGTGCACAGTGTGGCCTCTGACAGCTTCCAAAGCAGTCTCAGAAACACCTAGCTGTAGCCCCAAGCAGAACGGGCCTGCTCTGTACCTCTCTCTCAACCCTGCCTTCTCCCAGTCACTTCACTGGCAGTGAGTGTCAAACCCTATCCCCAGGAAACCTCTGCTCCATCAAAAGGAATTTACCCCGTGGTGTGCAGACCCAGGTCCCAGACCTTACCAATAGCAGGTGCACCTCCACGTACCATGTGGCCCTCTACAAAGCTATGCCTTCCACATGTTCTCATTTGACCCTCATGCCTCCTGCTATGTGAGGAGGGGACATGGGCACTATCTCCCCATTTTACAGATAAAGAAATAAAGGCTCAGAGAGATTAAGAGACTTGCCCAATCTAAGTGCTGGATCCTAAATTCAGATTCAGACCTTTTCACTCTAAGCTCAGTGCTCAGTGTCCTGGGAGTTCACCAATTTAAATTTTTTAGAAGGTCCTATTTTAAAAGACAATCATATTTATGTGACTGAAAGATCAATAATGCAACCTGTATACTATCAAGTGAACACTTTTCATATTTTTGTTAACGTCTTTTTAACATAAAATGTTTTAGTTTATGTTCAAATGGCATGTATATAGTTATATTTTATGTTAAACATGTGCATAACTATATGTATTTTAATTTTTAACATCTGAAGATGGGTGGCTGAGGCAGAGCAGGTTTGGAGGAGGTGCTGATGAGTTGATTTGAGGATGCCCTGTGCTCCAGGTTCTGATGGGACGCTGGGTAGAGCAGAGAGCTGAAAACGGGCATCCGGGGACATACTCTGCCCCAGGCCCCCGGATGACCTGCTGCTTCCCAAACACCCTTGCTTCTTCACTTCATGCCCTCCACAAGGCAGGTATAGCTGCCTCGGCATCTCTGACTTCGGATATTCTACCTCCCTTCCACGACCATTCTGGATGCCGCCTCACATGAACCTCAGATCAGACATGGTCTCTCTCCCCTGTGGGTTCTCGCAGCAGTTCCTACACACCTCTGTTCTAATCTCCGTCTCATTCTACAAGGGCTAGGGTCATTTGTGTGTCTGCCTCCTCCATGGTGTCTAAGGCAGGGGCAAGTCTTTTCCCATCTGTATCACCCACAGTGGTGCTTTATAATTAGGGATCAAAAAATAATGGCTGTATTTCATTGTTAACTGTATTTCTAAGGAGGACTGGTAAAAGAGGGTAAGGTTCAACCCCTTTCTAGTGGTGAATGTAAAATGCAACAGACAGCACATTTTTGTCTGAATTATCATTCTCTCTCTCTCTCTCTATTTGAAAGGTAGAGTTACAGAGAGAGAGAGAGGGAGAGACATAGAGATCCTCCATCTGCTGGTCTACTTCTCAAATGACCGCAATGGCCGGAGGTGGGCTGGTCCAAAGCCAGGAGCCAGGAGCTTCTTCCAGGTCTCCTATGTGGGTGCAAAGGCCCAAGCACTTGGGCTATTCTCTGCTGCTTTCTCAGGCACCTCAGCAGGGAGTTGGATCAGAAGTAGAGCAGCTAGGACCTGAACTGGAGTCCATATGGGATGCTGACACTGCAGGTGGAGGTTTTACCCACTATGTGACAGTTCTGGCCCCATGAATTTTCATTTTCAAATATGAACTCTGTGATGATTTAAAAGCACATGCTCCATGGGACCGGCATTGTGGTGCAGTAGGTGAGGCCACTGCTTGCAAATCAGCATCCCATGTCAGGGTGCCAGTTTGAGTCCCACGGCTGCTCTGCCCTGTGAATGTGCCTGGGAAACAAGAGAAGATGGTCCAAGTACCTGGACCCCTGCCACCCACATGGGAAACCTGGCTGGAGTTCCAGGCTCCTGGGTTTGGTCTAACACAGCACCTACCTTCATGGCTATTTGTAGAGTGAACCAGTAGATGGAAGATCTCTTTCTGTCTCTCCCTGTCTCTCTGTCATTCTGCCTTTCAAATAAACAATTGTTTTTTAAAAAAGCTCATGTCCAAAGATGGGGAAGGGCTTATAAATAAGAAGCAGTAGAAAAGAGTTGCTGCAATCTGTTAGAAGCATGGTAGAAAGTCGGAGACCAGAGCGAACAGGAGTTTGAAAATACCTCCCCCCACCAGGATGGCACACACCCACACACCTCCTCACCCCTCTCTCTCCACAAGCAATACTTGAAGCAAAATGGAGAGGAAGAAAAGAACAAAACAAGGGTTTGTGGGAGCCGTAGCCTGGGGCAGACATATGAGGTTACCAGATGACAGAAGGGAAACAAATGATTTAACTCCCACTTTGCTTTGTTTTTTTCAAGGACAATGATCATCGAGCCAGAAAGATGATTTTAAAAGGGTTCAAGTCTGAGACAGGTGAGGAAATGGTAAAGCAGCTTCTAATAGCTTTAAATAAACTCAAGGCTGCAGACATCAGCAAATCGCATCTCCCGGTAGGGAAAAGAACTCAAAGACAGGCGAGTAGAACCACCGTCGGCTGTGGACTGTTAAGAACAGTATTTTAGAGACATAAACAGGAAAAAGTTGCCCCTATTTTCCTGAAGCAATTCAAACATCAGATTCTGGAAGCCACAAAACACTAAGTTTGACATTAATTGCTAGTAAAAATCCTAAATGGGATTATTTATGAGTGAAAGAATGACCCAAAGCAGAATGGTTTCCTTGAAAAAACAGTTATGTCAAACTCACTCTATTGCCCTTTTAAAAATTTGGAATCTCTAGATGAGTAGATAAGGAAAACTCAGAGGAGTGTCTTGATTTCAGCAGGAATATGAAAAAGTCTTCCACGACCGCCTGGGTAGAATGGAGAAGAGTTAGCTGGATGGGAGAACAGGTGGGTGAACTGCTAGCTAATGAGGTCCCTGGTCAGTGTGATAATTAGGCTTCAGTCTGGAGCGAGGTCTCTAGCAGCTTTGCACTGTTGAGCACCTTCACCAATGCCCTGTGTGGTGTTGTGGAAGGCAGGCTCCTCATGGCACGTCCGGGAAGGCACAGCCCCTGTGTTTAGAGAGGATCGAGGCTGAGAAAGGCACCCAACCACGTGTTCCTACTCATCAGTGGACAATGACAAAGTTGATCTCACTGAAGCAGAGAGTTGCCGGTGGCAACTAGAGGCTGGCAGGGGTGGAGGGGAGGGAGGAATGGAGAGAGGATGGCTCACAAGTGCAGGGGGAGGTTGGGGAGAGGACCAACCACTACTGTTCTATAGCACAAATGGGCAACTGCGATGGACAACAATTAAGTGAATATTTCAAGTAGTTAGTAGAGAAGGTTTTGAATGCTCCAACACTGAGATATGATAATTGTGTGAGGTGGTGGATATACTAATTACCCAGATCTGATCATTACACATTATATATACATGGATTGTAACACCACACAATACCCCATACATTTTGTGTTGATTAAAAATTTAAAAATATGTCAAGGAAAAGAAAGATGGAGAAACAGCTTGTGAGGCAGAAATTACAGGCAGAAATCAAGGAGCTGATGTCGAGTAGAAAGAACTATAAATGTACACTGTTAGAGTGAAACACAAATTGCACAAGTAAGGGAGATGGGCCTTAAAAATGTCTCATCTAGAATAAAAGCAGGGAAGTTTACTGAGAAGTCAAGGTACCTGTGCTGTGATGTGCTTGCCAGGAAAAGAAGAAATAAAACAAAGAAGGGTCATTGTCATCTTGGCCTGTGTGAGTACGAGGCTGGTGTCCAGATGAAGGGGCCGCCCTGGAGGGGCATGTGGACGTGCCGAGAGGGACACGGGTGGCACGCAGTGCATCTGTGGAGGACGGCGTGGACGCTGCAGAGAGGTGGATTCCTGAAGAGCAGAAGGCCTGGGGAGGGCTGGACTGGTGTCTTCAATATCTAAGGAAGTACTAAGCAGAGAAAGGTGGTGCTTACGGTGCTGCTCTGAGAGCAGGGCTAGGACAGAGGGGAGAAAAGTGTCCCTTTCGTGGGAAGAGGTTCTATCAGTGAGAGCCGCCGGGGATGGGGACGCTACTGTCACCAGCAGTCGTTAGGGGGTGGGTGAAAGCCTGCCTATTGGAGATGCCTACACGGCAGGCCACGTTAACCCCGCGATATTGTGAGGCCCTGGGCTGGGGAAGATGATTGTGAATGGGGCGAAGCCTCCCCAGAGCCCTTTGAATACCTTGCAGAGGTCACCATCTCCTTTGCCACTGTCGCAACACTGGACCTGCACTCTGGGGAGCCACCGTGGTGGCCACAACATAAGGCATTTGGAGAGGGGCCGGCACTTTCCCCTCTGCATCTCACAGACATCTTCCTGCCTCCTAGCATTTCTGAAGGGATGGGGGTGCTGCGCAGTCTTCCCTTGGGGCATGGGCAAGTACAGAGGACAGCAAGAGTGTGTCTGTGCCACCCTTCTGCAGCTCAGGGGCAGCTGGGTGGGCAACAGTGAGGCCGGCAGGGCTCTGCCCAGGCCATGATCCACGAGTGATAAAGTGTCAGGGAAGAGCACCGGGAAGCAGTAGTGGGGGACATTCTAAGACAGGCCATGTTCATGGCCAAATGGTCTCCCAGGACTGCACGTTCAACACCCACTGATGCAAGGTAAGCACGCTTGTGGGAGTCTGTTTCTCATCATTTCTGTCTTTGCTCACACCCCCCTTCCTTTTCAAGAGTGCCCCTCTGCTCCCTGGTTGACTTTTTGGGTCTTGCTCATTTCCCCCAGGCCCGTGTCATTAAAGCTTTGACATTATGTACTTGCTTTTAGGCAGGACCTTAAAAAAGGAGAGAAATTTACTTATTTATTTTCTGAAAGGCAGAGGAAGAGGGACAGAGACAGAGAGATCTTACACCCACTGGTTCACTCCCCAGAAAGGCTAGGGCTAGGCCAGGCTGAAACCAAGAGCCTGGAGCTCCATCCAGGTCTCCCACATGGGTGGCAGGGGCCCAACTACTTGGGCCGTCACTGCTGTCTCCCCAGGTGCACTCTTTTTTTTTTTTTTTTTTTGACAGGCAAAGTGGACAGTGAGAGAGAGAGACAGAGAGAAAGGTCTTCCTTTGCCGTTGGTTCATCCTCCAATGGCTGCCGCGGCTGGCGCGCTGCGGCCGGCACACCGTGCTGATCCGATGGCAGGAGCCAGGTACTTCTCCTGGTCTCCCATGGCATGCAGGGCCCAAGCACTTGGGCCATCCTCCACTGCCCTCCCTGGCCACAGCAGAGAGCTGGCCTGGAAGGGGGGCAACCGGGACAGAATCCGGCGCCCTGACCGGGATTAGAACCCGGTGTGCCGGCGCAGCAAGGCGGAGGATTAGCCTATTGAGCCACGGCGCCGGCCGCCCAGGTGCACTCTTAAAGAGGGCAGGGGGATGGCAGGGGACAGAGACTTGAAAACAAATAATAAAAGTACAAGGTGCTAAGTGCCAAGCCAGAGGTAAGTGTAGAGCATGCTGGGCCCACAGGGGGTGAGGAATGTCAGGAGGATTCTGTTAAAATACCAAAGCCCCTCTTCCCACTCAGCCCCCTGATGGCCCTGAGGCCTGGAATCCTTTCTCCTGGCAAATTCTCCCAGGTGGCGCTGGGGAGAAAGATGGGATTTGTGTGAAATGGAAGCAGGGAGCGAGGGCCTGGTCCCCGGATGCTCAGAGAGAGCCCGTGGCTGGACTGAGAATGAGCCGCCTCCGCCACGCCAGGGGTCTCTCAGGCCCAGAATCTGCATTTTGAGCCATTCGTGGCCCCCTCCCTCACTGCAGCAGCACACTCGACAAGTCATTTATTCCTCCATAACATTTGCTCGGAGGAACGTTACCGCTGAATTATGGCTGGGACCATTATCTCACAATAACTGTCTGGGAAATGTTAATGTTAATGCATGGATCATGCAGAATGCCACATTAGGGCTTTTATGGTGGACATAACATTTTTATGAACTTTTTCTCTGGTAGCACCAGCCTTTGATGGAAAGAAAAGAGAAAAAAGAAAGAAAGGCAGAGTGGGGAAGAAGAAAGGCAAGCCAGCTGGGGTGAGACAGCCCTGGGAGCAGAGACCAACCCCTGAGGCTGGGAGCCTGTACCCTTCAGCCTGGGGGCAGGCCCGCCCTGGCCACCCTCCAGCCCTAGAATACCTTTCGCATTAGGTATTTGTGAGAGGGGAACAACCAGACAAATTGGCAACTGGTGGGAGACAGGGTCGACTGGGGCCCAAGCTGTAAAACTTGCCAGTCCTTTCAACCCCCTGCTGCCCAGGGGGCATTCAGGGCCAATCGGAGCGAGGGAGGGGCAGCCCCTTACCGCCGGGTGAGGGGAGGGGTCTCTGGCAGAGCTGCTTCTGGGGCTCACCTTGGGGAGTGATGGCTAATGGCTTAAGGAGATTTTAATTTCTGCCATTAAAGGGGAAAAAAAGGGAAAACACAATCTTGGGAATGGCAGTATTTTACACCTAGCTTTTAAAAAGGACTAATAAAGGCAGTGTTTAGCATTTTATATCCTTGCTCAAAAATAACGATCTTTGGTTCTCATCTCAGACATATTTTAAGGGAGCCTGTGTCTCCTACCTCCAGAAGATTCTTTCGGGAGGCTGAATTTATAGCTCTCTTCTTCCCCAGCCCTGGGCTCCCATGGAAGTCCCATACCCACGGCGTTTCGTCCACTGGCCTCGTCTCTCCCCACCCTCCTGCCCTTGTGGTCACTCCCGGTGCTGTTACTGCAGTGTTTCTTTCAGACAGGGTGTTGTTCAGCTCTGACCCCGAAAAAAAAACACCTAAAGCCTGGTTTACAGTCATTCTTCTGAGCACAACAGGACATAGGTTTGGGGAGGGCCTTGGCCTACTAGTTAGGATACCTAAGTCCTGAGTCAGCATGCCTCTGGCTCCGGGTTCCAGCTTCCTGCTAATGCAGACCCTGGGAGGCAGTGGTGATGGCTCAAGGGACTGGGTTCCTGCCTCCCATGTGAGAGACCTGGATTAGGTTTCCAGCTCCTAGTTCTAGCTTCGGTTGTTAAGGGTATTTGGGGAGTGAACCAATGGATGGGAGCTCTCTATCAGTGTGTCTGTTTGCCTGTTTCTCTACGGGTATGTCTCTCTGCCTCACCAATAGATACAATTTAGGAAGTAAAACAGATGTGGGCTGGGGGTGGAGTGCAATGCTGTTCAGAGGCCCCCTCCCCAGCAATGCCAAATTGCTGGGCAGGTGGTACAGGAGAGCTAGTGGGTTATAGGAGTGGTGGCTGAAGCGCAGAGGGTTGAAGGGCAGGCTGAACAGCATGCTTGTTTTTTGAGAACACAGTTGTGAGCTTGCTGAGAAGACCCAGGCAAGTTAGCGTGGTTTGGTGTAAAGAACCCTCACCTACAGCTTGGACCTCCAAGTTCCAGCTCTGTAACAATCAGACTGCATCTCTAGAGTAGCAATTCCGCTATAAAAGGCTGAGGCCAGAGTAGCACTACTAAGAGGCCCTTGTGCTCTGGGGGTCTATTGCCCCTGCACACCATCCGGAACCCTAACTGGAGCTTGTGCAGGTGGGCGTCTTGTCCATCTCTGAGGTGCAGTGCGTACTCGCAGGCACTGGGCCAGATGAATTTAAATCCAGACTTTAATAGCTCAGAGGACTTGAGCATGCTTTTAAAGAACTCATTTGATTTCCATTTCCTTCTACGTAAAAAGGAGATCAAAATGCAAACTTGTATAGATTGGACACCTCTAATTTCCAGATCCAAAATCTGCAATGTTCAAAAACTTATTTAAAGGTTTTGTTTTTTTTTTTTAAGATTTAGTCACTTATTTGAAAGGCATAGTGACACAGAAAAGGAGAGACAGATTTTCCATCTGCTGGTTCATTCCCAATATGGTTGTAACAGCCAGGTGTGGGCCCAGC